CCGGCCCTCATCCTGCTATCCTCTCTGCTCTCAGTCACACCGACGTGACAACAGCTGGAAGACGTCTACGAACACTCGAAGACACGAGAATCTAAAAAAAGCTCAATCAGAAATGCTAATATGTGCAAATCTGAGCCAGGACTCGTCAAACCATTTCCCTTCAGCGTCTACTGACGTTCTCCTGAAGCTGCTGACGTTCTCCTGAAGCTGCTGACGTTCTCCTGAAGCTGCTGACGTTCTCCTGAAGCTGCTGACGTTCTCCTGAAGCTGCTGACGTTCTCCTGAAGCTGCTGACGTTCTCCTGAAGCTACTGACGTTCTCCTGAAGCTGCTGACGTTCTCCTGAAGCTGCTGACGTTCTCCTGAAGCTGCTGACGATCTCCTGAAGCTGCTGACGTTCTCCTGAAGCTGCTGACGTTCTCCTGAAGCTGCTGACGTTCTCCTGAAGCTACTGACGATCTCCTGAAGCTACTGACGTTCTCCTGAAGCTACTGACGATCTCCTGAAGCTGCTGACGTTCTCCTGAAGCTACTGACGTTCTCCTGAAGCTTCTGACGTTCTCCTGAAGCTGCTGACGTTCTCCTGAAGCTGCTGACGTTCTCCTGAAGCTACTGACGTTCTCCTGAAGCTACTGACGATCTCCTGAAGCTGCTGACGTTCTCCTGAAGCTACTGACGTTCTCCTGAAGCTTCTGACGTTCTCCTGAAGCTACTGACGATCTCCTGAAGCTGCTGACGTTCTCCTGAAGCTGCTGACGTTCTCCTGAAGCTGCTGACGTTCTCCTGAAGCTACTGACGTTCTCCTGAAGCTGCTGACGTTCTCCTGAAGCTGCTGACGTTCTCCTGAAGCTGCTGACGTTCTCCTGAAGCTACTGACGTTCTCCTGAAGCTGCTGACGTTCTCCTGAAGCTACTGACGTTCTCCTGAAGCTGCTGACGTTCTCCTGAAGCTACTGACGTTCTCCTGAAGCTGCTGACGTTCTCCTGAAGCTGCTGACGTTCTCCTGAAGCTACTGACGTTCTCCTGAAGCTACTGACGTTCTCCTGAAGCTGCTGACGTTCTCCTGAAGCTACTGACGTTCTCCTGAAGCTGCTGACGTTCTCCTGAAGCTACTGACGTTCTCCTGAAGCTACTGACGTTCTCCTGAAGCTACTGACGTTCTCCTGAAGCTACTGACGTTCTCCTGAAGCTACTGACGTTCTCCTGAAGCTACTGACGTTCTCCTGAAGCTACTGACGTTCTCCTGAAGCTACTGACGATCTCCTGAAGCTACTGACGTTCTCCTGAAGCTACTGACGTTCTCCTGAAGCTACTGATGTTCTCCTCATGCTTCCGTCGTTTTAAGCGAATGTATTTAAGAACACCGCTCAGAGAAAAGATATTGATCTGTCCTCTTTCATCTATCAGAGCAGCACATATCCTGGCAGCTGAATAAAAAAAACTGCTCAGCAGCAGGATGAGAGAACACATCAGACCATCAAAGGTTTTCCAGTCTCCTCTGGTCCAGTTCTGCTGATCCTGTGGAAACTGCAGCTTCACGCTCCAGGAGACACGCCTGGTGTGGTCTTCTGCTGCTGGAGTCCACCTGGAGCAGCTGGTGTGGTTCTGCAGACCTTGGTGGTCACCAGTCTGACCAGTCTCCTCTGACATCCATCCCCACAGCTGCTCCTCACTGCACATCTACTGGTTTAAGACCAGTCTAGAGATGGCTGTGGGTTCAAATCCCACTAGAGAAGCAGATTCTGAAATCTTTACACCAACAACCACTCAAGTCACCTTCACCACTTCTAGATGACTAAAACATGGAGCTTCTGACGTGATTAACCTCTCAGCTGCTGAATTAGTGAGAACATCATTTCAGTTAAAGAACATTGAATGTTCTAAAAGATAAAAACACCAATAATATAATTTTATATCCACCTGAGCAGCAGAAACATCCCATAATTATACTAATATAACTAACAGCTTCTGATAAAACACACCAAACCGTGACTGTGAAGCAGCAGCTGATGGAAAAAGGATCAAAATCCTCCTGAAGCTTTGATTTTCCTGACGTGAAACATCAAAAACATCCTGCGGCAGACACGTGACTCATCCATCCATCACCTGCGCTGAAACACAAACACTCACCTGTCATGTCAGCACGTCCCGTAGCTACCTGAGTCATCGACTGTCTTCACCAGAGGAACCGAGCAGGAGAACAGGGACAGCTCCGGTACCGTTCCGGTTCTACACGGTGACTCAGGAAGGCGGAGAGCCGGATGCTGGGAGCGTGAGAGGGGCGGGCACGGTTTAACGGAGCGGAAGACCGGAACCCAAATCTCCACACCGTTTATGAAAATCAGCTAAACTAAAAATTCAGTCAACATTTAATGAGCTAACATTTGTGTTATTTCAGAATTTAAGCTAACATTTGTCTTTAAATATCATAAAACAAACAGAAAGATTATTAAACGTTAATTTAGGAATGTAATGTCTCAAATGTGCCTTTAAAATAAAAATAAAAATGTTTCCTACAAATACAAACCTGTGATCGCTCCGCATTTGGCAATTTACACGCGCCACGTGCGTCTCCTAGCTACCAAATAAATCTGTTTCAGGGTTACAAACACCAACGGAGAAAAAAACTTTATTATCTGAGTCAGAATGTTAGAAAACAATGGTTGTGAGAGTCTAGCGCTAGCTAGCTAGCTAGCTAGCTACACCGCTACAAACTCAGGGTTAGTATTCACGAGCAGGGGAATTGATGCCCTCTAGTGGACACAAGCTGTAACTACACCCTTAGCACTAATGAACTAGCACTAATGTTCATTCATAGACTGTATATGTACAGTCTATGAATGAACCACTATGGCATTTTAGCGTTAGCAAGATGTTCTTACGGTCTTTTTACCCTATTATTTAACTAAAAACACAAATAAAACTGTGTGTATGTAACGATCGTGTGGAGTCAAAAGTGCTAAACCCAACATTTTGTAGACTTTAGCAGAAAAATGCAGGAAAATGGCCCCCTCCAGTGTCAACAAATGGAACTACATGCTAGTTCTGCTAAAGTCATTATTCAGAAAAGAACATGCTAATCTTCTTACTTCAGTCAAGCAGGAAAAATATTTATCTTTGTTTTTGTTCTCTTGGGAATATTAATATTAAGAATAATAAGGACAAGGAGGAAAGAGAACTACCTTCATAAAGGTGTAATAGTTACTGACTAAAATATTTCCTGTATAGTCTTTCAAAATAAAAGGTTCTTGCGTTTTGGTGTTAGCAAGATGGGAACTCGTTCTAACGGTCTTTTCTCTTTTGCTTTAGGCAAAACTGAATGCAAACTGTATCAGAGTAACAATGTGAAACAGATGGTTGAGTGGAGTAGAAATACTCGGTTAGCAACAGCCTAGAAAATCCGTTTTATTGCCTCAACATGAAAAAGGAGGGGGATTTGTCTCCATCCAGTGGTGAGAAGCTGGAACTACACTCAGTAATGAGCGTTTGACCAACGTCACTGCACACTCTCTTATCCTAACCCAGGATAACTAAAACCGGACATTTTTAAACAGGGAATATCTCATCCAGCAGCTTGTCTCTGGGTGATTTGATCTGCCTTAAAATGATAATTTCTTTATATATATTTATTATACAACTTATTTTGTTTTTTCTATTAAAAAATCTCCTATTTTTATTCCTGCCCTGTTTAGACAAAACAACACGTGCTCTTATAAAAGTCCCACACGAGCTGTTTTTGCCTCTAAACACCTTTTTTTCTCACGCTGCTACGGAACTGGCTCGTGTCTGAGCGCACGTGCCACGCACAAGCGAACCCCGGCGGCGTCATTACGTCATTCTCAGAGCAAACTGAGGCTGGCAGCTGTAATATGGGTCAGTGCAGATTTCACTGCTACACACTCACGTTTACTCTGTCACAGCTGATCACAGCGCTATAAACAACAACCAGAGGCCTAAAATAAACATTAAAATAATGAATGTGGAGCCATCAGGCTGGGAGTCAGCTGCAGGTCTGAGCCATGGGGAAAAAAGGTGGATGCTACCTTCAGGTCAGGACTCTGGTCCACCAGCATGGTGAAATCATGGCTGAGCCAAAAGGCCATGCTCTGGATTTACTGGTCTTCTTTTTCTACCCTCACTGATTCCACCTGGTGATGAAATGTAGATCCTGTCTGGAAAATCAGGCACCTCCTTGTCCTCCTCCTCATCAAACGAAGGTGCACATCTGACAGGGAGTCCACTTGGCTGCTTCATGCTGGAAAAATTCCAGGAATGTCCTGCTAGAGAAAGCTCCAGAACTCTCTAGATGTGTGCTGTCAGGCCTGGGAACACTCAGGGATCCTGCATGAGGAGCTGCAGGGAGAAGGAAGTCTGATTCCCACCTAGATGTGTTTCATCCATAACCGTGGATGGATTAGAAAAAAACAAACCAACCTTCCTTCACTCCTCAATCCAATTCCTGAACACTAATCCGCCACCGATCATGTAAGTGGTTATTATCTGTCTCTCCTGACAACCCCCCCCCCCCCACACACACCCACACACACACACACACGACACACACACTAATTGGTCTTATGCAGTGAGAAGGGGAATTAACGCCCTCCAGTGGCGAAAAGCAGAACTGAGCTGGTTTAGAGAATATTTAACCCTCCTGTCAGTGAAGCATAAATCCTGATGCTTTTATTGTTATTATTAATGTCAACAAGGAGAAAAGGGAACTGCACTTATGAAGTTACAATGTTAGCAGAAACACTTCTTGGTAATTCTTTCAAAATAAAATGCTACAGCATTTTAACGTTAGAAACAGTGTCTCGCTCTAACCGTGTGTTTCTCTTTTCATTAAAGTGCTAAAAGCACAGCTAAATGATGATTTTGTAACCGTGTTGAACACAATGGTTGTGTGCAGAAACGACCGGGACCACAGGAGCACCGGGACGCAAACGTCTTCTGTATCATTTAGGTCAACTTGATAAAAACACGAGACATGGTTTTGCAGATTTGGATTTTCCGCCCTCTTGCGGACAAAAGCTGTTACTACAGGAAGCGTTCATAAAGCTACAAAACACAGTCAGCACTTCCTGTAGTTTCCTTAAATAAACGACCCGCACTTGTATGGCCAGAGTAAGGACTCTCTGGTGACCACAAGGCGAACCCACAGTAGAATTAATTCAGTTAATATAAAATAAATATTAGTTAAAGGATAAGTTTATAGATACTAATGCAGCTTAGCAGATACAAACTATTAGTTATAAGTTCAAAGACCAATAAATGCACAACTGCATCTAATAAACACAGACATTAGTCATAAAAGGTCCATATTTTGTTTTAATCAGGAAAAGCATTCATGTTTTGGGATTTCAAAATAAATGTATAAACTACAAAAAACAAGAACAATAAAAACTAAACGCAATATAAAAATTTGGTGAAAAAGCTACATAAAAACTGAGTGAATGTTTGATTACAACAGCTGATTTAATTGGATGTTCGACTTGTTAAATCAGACGAATGACATTTTTTATTATAATGAAATATTATAAATACACGGTTTAAAGGGCAAAACTGAAACCAAGTAACATTTAATAACTTCAAAACATTCCTCTGAAGTTGGTTTCTCTCACCTAGAACCAGATGCAAGAGTAAAAACTCTAAATGTCGTTTCTACTTTGTTATCCTGATCAGGTTTTTGCTTTCTGATGGTGTGAAAATGTGAATCTTTTATGTCACAGAAAAAGAGCATTTATCCTTTAAAATGTTGAAATAATTTCACATCAGAGACATTTATAGTTTCACATTGAGTTTAAAATTATTTATGTGACATATTCTAAAAATATTCAATAAAAAACAAAATGTTTACAGTTTTTTTTCCTTAAACGACACGGAAGAGAAGTCTTCAGTTGTGTCCACATAACGGCGTCTCCTCGTTGAGCAACTTTACATAAAAACATGAAGCATTTTAAGATTCATGCATCCGATTCTGACTCAATAACCTTCTTCCTCCTCTCCTCTGATGGGTGTGAGTTATGTGTTTACCACAGAGTTTGCACCCTAACCCTAAAAACGTTAAAACTGCTTAAAGGCACAGAAAAGCTGCATTTTAGGCGTTTCTTTCTGCAGCAAACTGAAACAAAGGTTTAAAATCACTGCTTTTAAATTAAAATGATTATAAAATTCCTGCTTTTTAATGATTTTGCTGAAAGTTTAAGTTATTTTGAGTGATTTCAAAATGAAAACAATGTGAACAAACTGTAAATCACAAAGAAAATACGATGTAATAAAGGTTATTAAAATACGTTCTCTCCTCTTTAACAGAGTAAAAAAATCAGCTGAACTCCAAAGAGCTCCAGAAGTTTGGAGAACTGCTCCATAATAACTGAGCCGTGACTCAAGACGTTTTCACAGCCTGCAGGAATTGAGATGCAGCTTTATGCTCATTAATGTGAAAATGGTTTCCAGTGATTCTATCGAACAGAACTTTTATCCTGACCCATCATCGAGATCGATGAGCCGAAAACGTCCACCAATCAACCAAATCTCTTCTGCAGCGTTGCTTTAAACGTTTGTTTCCAACGTTCCAGTTCCTGGTTCTGATGACCCGAGTGACCCACGGCAGCAGCGGCTCACCAGGAGCGATGAAGCTGCTGGGGGTCCGTGTGAGGGTGAGGAGGCCGGAGATCCTGGAGGAGCCCGACTGGGTCTGAGGTTTCTGCAGAGTCAGAGACCAGAGTCGCAGGCCAGAGGTCTGAAGGCCACCTCCATGTTCTCCTCCATGATGAGGTCAAAACGGCACATCAGAGGTCTGAAGGGACCAGAGCGGATCTGTTAGCGTCACCACGAAACCAACCGTCTGTTTCTGGTGAATCTGTTTCTGAGGATCCAGCATGTAAACATGTTTAATAACCACAAAAGTCTAAATCAGTTCCTGAAGCGTGTTTCTGGGTTAATAATTACACGTGATTAGCTCCCTGAACAGCCTCTGTTCAGGGAAATAGAGTTTGGCTGTTAGCCTCAAGGGCAACCTGCTGGCTTCATCATCACTGTAAGTCGCTTTGGACAAAAGCGTCTGCCAAATAAATAAAAATAAACACATAAACACAAACGCGTCTGATAAATGCATGAACATCTTTAAGGACTGACGAGCTAACGGCTAGTCGACTAAAACCAAGGCGAGTGACCATCTTAAATCCTCTCCCAGTTTTCATGTTGACTCACGTCAGGTTATTTTATAAAGTTTTATGATTATTTACATAAACTTTAGTTAAGAGCGACGAGTTTCAGCTCCAGCTGCCTGCGCTACTGGAGCTCGAGTCTGACAGGAAGTTCTTCATGCTTCTGCTGCAACAGAACCGGGATTAATGTGAGGGTTTGTGAGATTTAAACGCCCGGGGCGACATCAGCAACTCTGGTCTTCACTCAGACTAGCCGTTAGCTCATCAGTCCTGAGAGGTGTAAAGACCATTTCTCTGAACAGAGGCTGTTCAGGAAGTTGTTGACCGCGGAAAAGACAGGAATGACGTTAAACACACTTCCTTTGATCTGATGAAGCATCCAGTAAAACTGAGTTTGGCATCTTGAGACGAGCTTCAGGAATAATAACTAAAATTTGGATCTTCGACCACGTTTGTTCCGACCCGACACGCTCAGGGTCCCTGCTAGATGTGTGTCCCAGTCACACAAACCAGTTCCCAGCCTCGTTTCCGACGTTCCGTGGGATATTTTCCAGAGGAATTTCCTGCTGATGAAGAGAAGCAGGAAGAAGCTGAAACGTCTGACCTGTCTGGATGCTCCAGCGGCGTGAAGCGGATCCTCAGCAGGCGGATCTTGTAACGAGGGCCGATGATGTTCCCGGTGCTAATCCGCATGGAGATCTTCTGGATGTGCTGCAGGTCTTCATCAAACTGGGCCAACAGCCGGCTGGAGGTGTACTGCTCCAGCCGCAGGTGCCTGCTGCCAGGAAAACCAAAACCAGAATCATTACAGTAAAAAGGGCTCCGTCCTGTAATCTGGTTCAGATTACAGACTATAATCCTCAGATCTCATCAAACTCATTAAATCAGACTTAAGTAAAAACATTCAGATTAATATAAATATGTTAAAATGAAAACTTGAGCATTATTAACACGAGTTACTGTTTACTTAAAATTACTATTTTATTATTACTTAAATTTATGATAAAATTATAATATTAGAAAACTTTGTGACTCCAAATTAAAAAAATGTTTTTATTTTTCCGAGTGTGGACCTTAAAGGTTGATTAGTAGAAAAACCACCTCAGATCTTCAGATAGTCTGGAGAGAACGGATCCAGAACCAGTTTAAAGGATTACAGGACTGTTTTGTTCCCTTACTGGTCGATCCGGGCCTCGGTAGAGTTCCTGCCGCTGTGCAGCCGGATGTAGACCACCCCCCAGCGCAGGTACTGGTTCCACGTCACCATGTCCACCCTGTAGATCAGCTCTGCCACACAGAGGGTCACAGATGAGTGCTGAAGCATTTCCAGCTAAAACGTGCTGCAGCAAAGCCAAATGAACCTAATTTAATCCAGATTATTTCAGATCTGAGCGACCTGGTGAACTCACTCCTGTAGGGCAGAGAGGACGTGGTGCTGAAGAAGACCTTGGTCTGTCCCAGTCGTACCAGAGCGTCTCTCCACTGGCTCATGTTGTGTCCTGCAGACAGAACCGCCACTCGTGTTCAGGTTCTGAAGCTTCGGGTTCAATCTGATCTGTGCTTTTCAAAATAAAACGACCACAGGAAACTTCTGTTGGCTTTTCTGGCCCGACTGCATCATCTGTGGTTTGTTTTAGGTGAAAATGAAGACCTGCTTCATGCTTCCCATCATGTACGCCATCTTCAGTTTAGCTGGTTTAAAGTCCTGCTCTTATTCAACAGGCACAGGTCACTGATCTGTAGATCTGCTCCCATCACCTACCGAGTACGGGACAGGAAGCGGGTTTGAAGGCCTCACACTGCAGACACTGTCCATCCAGGAAGCGTCCGTAGGAGGAGCACGGATAGCCGGTCAGCTGGCAGGTTTGGTTCAGAGAGCACAAGAACAGGAACACGGAGCGCTGGTGGTCACACACGAAGTAGGATTTACCTAAAGGTCAGAGGGAAGAAGCTGTGAGTGTGTGTGTGTGTGTGTGTGTGTGTGTGTGTATGATTTTTTTCACCTGCAAAGATGGTTTTGGGACATCCCGGCTGGTCGGCTCCACCGTTGGCGTAGAAATCAACGTGACCGTGAGCTCCTCTGAGTCCAAATGCTGGAAAAACCCAAACAAACTCTTAGATTATGGTTATAAATAAAACACAGGTGGGTAATGACTCCGTCTCGGTTTCCAGGAACACACGTGTCACCAGCCAAAACCAGGAAGTAATTTTAGGCAGAATCGTGTGCATGATGTCTCCGTTTCAGTTTTATTACCATTCGATGATTAATAAGACATTTGTTTTGATTATTTGATCTCTCAGGCTTAGAATGTTGTTTGGTGCTTGTTTTATTCACCTGGTCTGAGTTATCAGTGGCTTTAGATGGATTACCGTGAGTTTGAATTATTATTATTAGTAAAGACCTGCTAACTTCCTTTGTAGGTCACTTTGTTGTGAATTTGTTGAGTCAGTTCAACTGAATTTACTTTATTTAAAGAGCAAGTCACCCCCTACCAGATTCTTACTCCACTCCCACTTCCTGTTTGAAAAATGGAACAAATGCTGTTGCCTAGCAGACCGAGGAGGCGGAGCTGCTAACACACACACACGCACACACACACACGCACGCACGCACGCACACACACACGCACACACACACACACGCACGCACACACATACACACACACACACACACACACACACACAGGCTCACACCGACATTGTGACATCATATGGTACCAGCTAACGTTCTAGGGTACCTCTTAGCCAATAGCGATGGCAGATTTAGATTCAAATGCAGAGCAGAGTTTTTACCTGACAACGGCACAACACTGACAGTTTCAGGCAGAACATTTAAATTTTAACTAAAATGCAATAAAGTACAAAACTATTGACGACATGTGTCTGCAGCACGATTAGACACTCATTTATATAGTTTATCAGAAAAATAAGTTGGGTTGGGGGTGACTTGCTCTTTAAACAAGACCAATCAGCCTAAAGGTCTGAACTGCAGCATAAAGAGGAACATTTCTGTAAAACTAAACTAAAACGCTCGGACTCAGTCTTCATTATGAGATTATGAGTCACGTTTGATTTCCGGATTATTAATAATCTGAGTTAGATTCTCACAGTTCATGTCGGTGTGAAGAACGTCCACAAACATGGCGTCGGAGGGGTCCAGCCTGTCCTCCGGTGTGGCGCTGGTGAACATCGGCCCGGCTGGATCCAAACCTGAGACCATAGAGAAGCTTCACACTCAGGTGATCATGTTTCTGCAGCAACACTGGAGGGGGTGGAGCTTAACCTAACCCTAACCCTCGGATCCATTTTACCTGTGATGCGGCCGATCTTCCCCTTCAGGTTTGCCCCCACAAACCCCGCCAGGTGAGCTCCCAGACTGACACCGATGAGGTGGATGGAGCTCAGAGAAGCTCCTTCCTCCTGCAGATGTACACCGTGCAGTTGAACTCACAGAAGGTTCTCCGTCCTTTCATCTTTTTGTGAAATATTCAAACAGGATACGAAACAAAACCCAGGTGAGTAAACCGGTCTCACCTGCATAGTCTTGATGAACCCCGTCAGGTTGTGAGCCGCCTCCCTCGTGTAGCTCACAGCAGTGAAGTAGTTGAAGTTGGCTGCTCCTCGGTTCCAGTCCACCACGATGATGTTCATGTCCTCCTGCTGGGCCAGCAGGTGCACTACGTGGTTGATCCAGATGGGCGGGGCTCCGGTGGGACGGTACCCGTGGATGACGAAGGCAGTGGGACGGTGGAGGTCGAAGAGCGGCTGCGAGGACGGGTGGTGGTGATTTATCTCACGGCCACATTCCAGGTTGGAGCGGGTGTAGAGCAGCAGCCGGACGTAGAGGCTGGTTCCCATGAAGCAATGAGACAGGTCCAGGTCAGTGAAGTTGTCACACGTCTCCTCTGTTCTGGTCTCATCTTGACCTGGAGGACATTTGGGATCAGATGAAGTTCCACGAGTTTGTATTAAACTGATGTGTCTTAGTCAAAAACCATTATCTGTGTCCCCGGGGTACCCCAAGGTTTACCACTGGGCCCACTGCCTTTTGTACAACTACACCTCTTCCTTTAAAGTCTTTGTCCACTCGTCTCCATCTTCAGCTTTAACAGACGTGACTGTGTAGTGACACTGAAGTCTTACTACAAAGGTCAGCTTTTCTCCTTCAGATTTTCACAAACAAGAACAAAAACCTCTCTCGAGTCCCGACATCAAGCCATGTTTTTCACTCACGTGCTGCTAAAAGTCTCGTATCAACCAACGTGACTCTTTAAAAGCACGGTTTAGTTACAGATAAAAATAAATAAACATTCTGACACGTAATATTCTAACCCTCGTAGTTCCTCGTTTATAATCTAAGGAAACGGCTTCCTGACCCGCTGAAGACCGTTTGAGGAGAAATGGAAATACTGGATCATCTTTGAGGATTTCGTGACTGCTGCTGAGGTCATCGGGTTAGCGTGTGATCCTTCTAGGGTTGTGGAAACCCAGGGAGTCCCTTATGATGTCATCGCTGTGAGGATGACTCAGGTTCACGCTAACTCTCTTCCTACATCGGAGGTGACTCACACCTGCGTGTTCAGACGGAAGTTCTCATTCGTTTATTAACGTGTCGCATTTTAAACTTCCTGGGCATCAAAGTGAAACTTCCCCACGTTCCCACGCTGATGGTGATGAGCTACATGTAGTCGCAGCTGCCCTGGGGCTCACCGACAGAGGTGAGGCTGCTGCGCAGCGGTCCCTCCGACCACCAGCTGCAGGGTTAAGCATCTCTTCTCCCTCCGCAAACTAAGAAGAGCAAGAGCACCAGCCCCCATCCTGTACACTTTCTACAGAGGCACCATCGAGAGCATCACTGTGTGGTTCGGAGCCTGCGACGTTTCCTGCATTCAAACCCTCCAACGTACAATGAGAGCAGCAGAGAAGGTCATCGGGGTCTCTCTCCCCTCCCTACCAGACATTTACAGCACCCGCCTCACAAAAAAGGCCCTTGGCATTGCGGCTGATCCCACTCACCCGATGCAAAGCCTCTTCCAGCTGCTGCCGTCAGGGAGGAGACTGCGGAGTCTCAAGGCCAGGACCAACAGACTGAAGGACAGCTTTATCCATCAGGCAGTTAGGAAGCTAAACTCCCTCCCGGCTCTCCCCCCTCTCCTCTCTTTTCCCCCACAGTCTCCCTGAACTTGGTTACTCTTTTTATACTAAATGTTTATTTTCTATCTAGCGAGAGTTTGAGAGTAACGTAGTTTCGATTCTCTGTATGTCCTGTACATGTGGCAGAAGTGACAATAAAACTGACTTTGACTTTGACTTGCCCAAGGGCACAACGACAGCAACAGACTGAGCGGGGCTAGAACCTGCAACCTTCCGATTACGGGGCGAGCGCTTAACACCTGTGCCACCGTCGTCCCCCTGTGTTAGACAGACAGGTGAGTGGGCGGGGCTCTTAGCCCCATAAAGCTCAGAAAACAACATGGCGGCTCCTGTAAACGGACGGTTTTGGCTTCACTTTCAGTGTTTTAGGCACGTTTCCACACAGGAAAGGTTAATTCTACACAGCACGTATTTTTATGCTGAATATTAATTTTGTTTTCATGTTTCTCTGCCAGATGAGGCAAATCCTGCCTCTGCAGGTTTCTTCCTGTTTTTCCTCCCACCGTCGCCCGGCTCTTGCTCAGGATGCAGAAACGTGTTAAAGCGGAGGTTTTCCTGGACAGCTTCCCTGGAAATTTCCACCCTGCTGAATCTGATGGTGTAATACTTGGATTAAATTGGTTTGTATGTAACTGGATTACAATCTGGATCTGTTTTGGACTGAACTGGATTGATGGTAATTTAATATGAACTAGATTACAGCAGCCAGAGACGACTTCTGTCAGGAACTGGAGCTTCATAAGCAGCGGATTAGAGCTGAATGGGATGAAATAAAAGGGAATTATGATGAAACAAACCTTCCTCCACTGTTCACCTGCAGACACCTGTGACGTTTGGCTCCCCGGTGGCACACATACATGCAGCACCGGCCCCAATAGGATCAGGCTGCTATATAAAACTCCTCATCCCATCACCACCTGCTTCATCGTTAACCCAACAGCTGATTACAGCTGCCCGTCAGTCGATGAGGGAGGGGCTAGCGGGGGAAAATGGGTCCAATCCCACCTGAGACCGAATCTTTGAGTGTGTCTGACCGGCAGCAGACGGACACAAACACCACCAGCTGATTCCAGCAACACAGATGGAGATGGCTTTAAATAATCTCTTCTTTCCACTCCTCACTAAGCTGTCTCCTCATGCAGCATCACACACTAACGAAGTCCCGTTCTCCTGCTGGGTTCTTACCTTCACAGAGCACCAGCAGTCCCAGCAGACCCAGAAGTCTGTGAGGAAGCATCTTTCCTTCAGCTGCAGGAACAGAGAGACACAGACGAGGTGGAGATCTGGATTGAGAGTGAAGGAGGAACCGACTGAGCCCAGGAGATCCCTGTCAGGATGGGAGAGAGGAGCCGAGGGGAGGGGGAGGAGGTGGTGCCTGATGGATCAGGCTCTAGAAGAGTAGAGATGGAGGAGGACCTGCAGGAACATTTAGTTCTGGGTTGGATGTTTGTTCATGAAGTCAACATGAAAATCCTGCATGACGACTTGAACGTCCGCTACAGAGCATCCTTTACCTTTACTACGTCCTCCTTTTATGACATTTAACTTTTAAATAAACACTCAGCGTCAGATATAAATAAAGTTTAACTCAGCTTTAACCCTTTTCCATGAAGGAGTGCTGCAAAACAGAGGACCCTATCAAAATAAAAGCATGGTGGGCTCATCCTCCATCTTACTAAATAAAATGCAGATAAAGTAGTCCTCTTTACTCACTTTCATTTAATCTAAAACGTTTGTCTTACTTGCTTCCTGGTCATGTGACCTTTGTTTCTAGGAGCTATGTATTTTTGAGGCGGTGTGTCTAAAGCTGCTGGACCCAAAATATTTATTTTCAAAGTTTTTTTTAAAAACAGAACAAGTTTTTCCCTGAAACGCACCGTCACACACGCTAACCGCCACAGAGAAGAAAGAAACCGTTGGTTTTAATTGGAGCAACGACACAAAACATGATGATTACATTTATGATGTTTAACTTTAATTGTTATTTTATTCGTGGACAAACGACAGGGTCTTATCAAGCAGCTAAGCTAAAGGATTAAACCTGGAAGCAGCAAAGGAAACGTTTTCAAACAGGAAACCTGAAAGTGACGCATAGATAAACACAACGTCTTTGTCTCCGGGTGACTTTTTATTACAGACGCATGAAAACAGGGTTCTGGATGAAGGCTCGTCTCCTCCCCCTCTCTGATTTAGGGTTCATGTGTGTGACGCACCTCTGATGGTTATTAATAGCTGCACAGACTAACCACACCGCGACCCACCCTGCACTCTCAGAACCAGCACCTATAATTTACCACCATCAGAGAGCCGAGGCTCTGCAGCGAGGCCGACCCGAGGCTCACGCTGATGCCAGAGACGACGTTCAAACCTCACGGTCGAGTAAAGGCGGAGTCAGAGCGGCGCAGGGAGAGAAAACGGCAGGATTTAAAAACACGAGCTGGTGCACATCGGACAGGAAACACTCGTCCTGGAAAAGAGTTTTAATCTGGGTTTTGGTCTGACTTTAATCAGAAAACAACAAACTGTTTGCCAAACAGCTGATTCCCAGATCATCAGCTCTAAACTGGGCCAAAGCTTCAGCAACTCTGGAGCATTTGTGTTTATATTTGTAACTCTTCTGATGGTTTTTAAACACGTCCGTGTTTCTGGAGGCTTCCTGTGGTCGGTCGGACTGGACCTCAGGTCTGCAGAACAGTCAGGTCAAAGGTCACTGTGTCCAGATCATCTAAAGAGCTTACCTGTAGAGGCCACGCCCCCTCAGCAGTCAGCTGACGTCACCGAGGCCAGACGGGGCTCTGATTATGTGAGCAGACTCTGATATAAAGAGTTCAGATCAGGTTTTCCTGCTGGAGCGACTCCGTGAGAAAAGATTTAGCTTTTATTTGTCGTAACCGGATGCTTCAGACGAACAAATAGACTTTTGCTGCTGATCTCAGTTATTTGGTGTTTAAAGACTGAAGATAATGGCGGCATATTTCTGGATGTGCCTCACACACCACTGAGGTGTTTCGTCCTCTACTCACAAACGAATCAATAACTACCTTTAAAACAACAGAACAGCAATAAAAATAAATAAAATTGGCCCTTCCACCTGTAGATCCTCCACCGGGGGCAGCAGACTTATGGGACTGGGTGAAGGTGCTAATCCTGATGCTCCATCGGGAGGCTTTAAGGACAGAAGTGGTCTCTATGGAGGATAATAATCTACTCATTTTTAGTTTTGCTGTGTTGCCACTTCCTGTTTTATTTTTGTTGTTTGTTTATCTGTTTGGGAGAGGAGCTCTTCCAGCACATCTCCATCCACACGAGGAGAAAAGACGTGAACCTCTCAGGGATAAATATGATCTTCAGATGAATATAAACATCTCCAGATGTTTCCATCAAGCTGCTCTGAGTTTTGCTGCCTCACTTTGTGCCTCTGTACCTTTTTGTTGCTTCCTCTTTCATCCTCTACGTCCGCGCTGAAGATCTGCCATTTTCACACGTCTCACTTCCTGTGGAACCTGAAGACCAGCTATTTTGGTTTCTGGTGAACATGCAACAGCTTCTCTTCCCCTCCCGAGCTCCGACCCAGAAAGCTGATCTGAGGTTCTGCGGGTCCACCTTCGTCCTCCTGGAGAGAAGAAGCAGGTGGATGTGCGCTGGTCTCTGACCACCATGGCAGCAGCTCTGCCGGCGTGCTACCATGGTGCCATGACCAAGCAGGAGTGCGAGGACCTGCTGGGGAAGAAGAACAACGATGGGGCGTATCTGATCCGAGACAGCGAGAGCATCAAGGGAGCCTTGTGTCTCTGTGTCTAGTGAGTAAACGTCTCCTTTTGCCTCATCGCTGCGTGTGGAGGATTCCAGCTGCAGCAGGCCGGGCGTTCGGTTACGTCCGACGTGGACGAAATCATAAAAAACAACATTTTTACATGCATGAATGAAGTCTTGTGCAACAACAGCCCAGAATGTGCAAAGGCTCTACATGGATAAATGTGTTCGTCCTTCTGGTTTCAAAAATAATGACTTTAGAGTTTATAACTGAGTTTTGTGAAACTTGACAAAAAAAAGTGTAAAATGACTAAATTCCTCTCTTTTCTCAATAACGAGGCCAAATGAGCTGATGATAAAACGTGCAAATCAAAGGAAATGTTTACTTTAGCCCTTTGATGCATGAATTATGAAATCTTCAACCATGATTTTTTTTAAACAATTTTTTTCATTCATCTTTAGGTGTGAATGAAACAAATTTCAACAATTTTTTTTGTAAAATTTTATCATTTACAAATAATTTATTACATGTCCACTTCAGTGGACAGCGTGCATTCTGAGCATGAAATATGTTGGCTTGACTTACTGAGGTCCAACTGGAGGGGCTCAAATGCAATAAAGTCTTCAACAGCTGTGCTTAACAGTAAAAACAAATAAATAACAATTTTGAGTAGCTGTCCACTGTAGTGACCATTATGCACCAAAGGGTTAGAGCCGCTGCTGCTGCGGGACTTTTGTTTGATTAGTTTGTTCCAGACATTCGTGCTTCAGTCATAAAATCCCAATCTGATTAGATTTGCAGCTTAAATCCATCATTACAGAAATTATTTGATCCTAATGAGTTCATTAGTAACAGCTGAGCGCACGTGTTCGTGCTGTTGTTTGTAACGAACTTTAGGATAATTGTTGTAAAAACATAGATGGTGGATTTAAACTGACGGGTCAAAAATTCAGTTTAACCCAAAACCTCCCTTTGCTGTTTGTTTTGTGTTTCCTTCCGGGAGCCTCAGAGCCATTTTCGCTCGATCGTGTTTAGATTTCTGAACAAGATAAACTCTCCCACGATGAGCCTGGAGCCAGGAGATGAGGAGTGTGAGACACCTTTGGGAGTAGTTGGAGATCCAATTAGGAGTAAACTGAGGACGCAGTCCAACATTTTTTAGCCAACTGGAGATGAGAACCTTTACATGACCGTTGCTGTTTATTCGTCCAGAGGACCCAACCCGTCTGGTTATGGTTCCGGATAAACAGCACGACCCAGATCCGAAACTTCCCTTTTTGTGTCTCCTTCTGGTCTCCGACAGCCGACAGTGAGAACTACGGTTTGTGGAACTCCAGACCCGTTTGGGAGGAGTTGGAGACCCTTTAGAGACGAATCTGATGTTTCTAGTCTGACAAAACTGCCAAAAATCAAGGAGCACAAGAG